ATTAAATGTCACGCAGTGAAACAGTATTATTTTACCCTGGATAATATTTCGAACGATACAATTTATGACTGTTCATAATCACATCGTCAATTATAACTACACAACTTCGAAACTTCAGATTTATAGTTTTCTTTATTCCTTCCTATTCGTCGTAGGGGTAGTAGAATTTTACAGATGTCCGTGTCGACTGGTGTTGAATCACTTCTATTGCATGTTCATTCAGTTATCAATCTCTCCCTCCACCCTGCTGTTATATTAGATTTTAGAACTTATCCCATCCTATTGTATGGTTGTATGTAATTGCATGCAGTGCTATAGTATAGCTGAGCTATTCTATTCTCCAGATTTCTTATATTATCAGGATCAACTAATCTAGATTTTGTTAGGTTTTTGTGCTCCCCCAGTCTGACTGACTGACTGACCCCTTCCTACTACTTTGACCTATGTATTCAACCTGACAATCATAGCACAAGGTATTAGATAAACCAAGTTGTTTTGTTTAATTGGCTGCACAAGACCCTTCAATCGACAAAACTTGTTTCTAAGTGACTTTGTGGGCAACTGAATGTCCCCTTTATTCCTGCATTGTTAAGAATTCTGAATAAGTTTTTCGAAGTTTCTGCTATGTATTCAAGTATTCCTGATGATTTGAATTCCTAATTGTTGGGGTTATCATCATTCTGTGCATGCTTGTCATGCATGTCATTATTATTATTATTATGATCAGTATTGTTACGGTAAAAATAATAATAATTGTTATTATTATTACTAATTTTTTTCGCATTTCCCTACATACTTCCTAATGAAGCTTTAAAGCTTCTCTCATCTGCTTCACTCCCTGTCTTAGATTTTCCTTGGTACTACCATTCAGTTTTCCTGCCCTATTACTCAAACATTCCACCAATCTTATTTTTACTAACATGGAATGGGATGAAGTGAAATCCAAAAATCAGTTTGATTTGATAGTTTAATGAATATTACTTATCTGAGATATTTGACGATATCTTAGCAAAGTATAAATCTGAAGTTTCGCAGTTGTGTAGTTATATTTGATGATGTGATTATGAACAGTAAGTAAATTGTGTTGTTCTAAACTCCGTCATTCAGTATAAATAATACTGTTTCACTGTGTGTGTGATATATCTAACAAACACGTTAATATGCGAAAAAATTGAAACAGTAAAAATGTTTTTACCATAAGGTAATCTCATCAATGAAGAAAAAGGCTGACTGACTTATCAAACTAAAACCTTTTGATGATATTTGGTGGTTGGAGGCAATCTGCAGGATGCCCTGGACCTAGGTTTCGTGCTAGTTGCCACTCATCAGTCAGCAAGGCGTATCTGCAACCATGTTGAAGGAACTCATGTCCCTTCTGAGATTCGAACCCACGTCACCCAGTGCTGCAGTCAGTCAGAGACGTTACCATTGAGCTATTCGGGCTCAGGATTGACCTCCTGTAGGACTGTATTGGATATTTTTCATCGGACACTAGTCAGTAACTAGTGTAATGTGTCTAGTCCTTTCTTTGGTGCAGACTGAATTCTATCAGTCAGGTTTGCAGTGTAGCCATGATTCTCAGAAGGGACATCAGTTCCTTCAATGTTCCAGATACGCCTTGGTGACGAGTGCCAACTAGCACGAAACCTAGGTTCAAGGCTTCCTGCAGATTGCCTTCAACCATCTGATATCATCAAATCAATGTACACCACCCCATTGCCAGTTAGCAAGCTTTGTAATTCACTGCAGCAAATTGCGCCTTTTTTCATACGCCTTTCTGTACAAATTATTAACATAGACTACTGACTGACTGGTGCTTTTTTTCTTTCTCATCACATTGTCTCCTCAAAACAAAAATTCTGTGTTCAGTAAAAGTTATACTTTAGAGCAAAAATTACGAACACAATCGTCAACAATTTGATTACATTTCATAGTGATTATTTTTATCGATCGATCCTCATTAATCGATTAAAAAAAAACATTAAGGAGAAATTTACAAAGCAGTGATATTCACAGCATCGCCTACTTATATTAGCCAAAAGGTATTTAACAAAATAAACTAAACTGATCTAGCGGTATTCTTGTTTTTTTTAATGCAGAAAGATTAAACCAACATTTTTGCTGTATGTTTTCAGCGAGTTTTTGTGCATTATACATCCAGCCATCTGACAATGATTCAGAGTACATGTGCGCCGTGATCACGAGCCACCTAGAATGGTGACCATACTGAGAACGACATACTGCTTGCTCAGTCATTCAAAAGACATAGTGTGACGTGTACTACTGATAAGATTTATCAGTAGTATATGAAGACACGTTCGTTGGCATAAATATATCAAATAGCAAACAGACAGATTTGACGTCATAGAGAGCAAATGAACGAACCAGTGTATTGCGGCAAAACATAGGAGACACGGGAAGAAGACAAAGAAACACAATACAAGGGTCGCGGGGCAGAAGTAGCATAACACAGAAGGTCTGTGCAAATGACGACTTTGATATATATAGTATACATAATTTCCCTATAATATGCATATCGATTCGCGAATAAACATTCTGTTACCACGTCTCTTGTATCCTTATGTTGCAATAGGATTTTGGGCGAACTAGTATTTGGACACCAGTTGTTCTGATGTATTTGAATAGCCTAGCCAACACACATTGGTTAATTTCAGTCCAAACTAGACGGATAGAATTCAGTGGCTGAAATTATTCAACACATGTTGCTACACTATCCAAATATATATATTAGAATAAATATGTCCAAATACCAGTTCGTTATAATACCTACTTTTTTCTTCAGTGGCTTTATCGCATATCCCCTTTACTAATTAAAGCGTCCTAGTAAGTTGCTATAGTGGTTAAGTAACAAGTTATATGATTTGTATGTCTTTTAAACAAAATTTTGCACTAAAAGTATTTCTTTTCGGACGTACACATTATTGGACTCATCATCTGAATGTACCTGCATTCCCCAATGACTGCTGGTACCACACCACTTGTGCGTCGGATATTAGTAATTATTTAACTCAATTCAGCTTTCCCTTTTTGGGATTGGATTGGATTGAAGTGCTTGGCGTCAGGTTGACTGATATCAGCTCCTTGTGTAGATGCTTAAACAATGTCTGAGAATTTCGCTTGAAGTAAACTGGTGGCTCTCGTAACCAAAGTGGTTAGGCGGATAAAGCTTTAGTGTTTAAAACGATGGGTACTGGATTTCAGCCTCAGGAAGAACACCAACAGTCAGTCACTGGGGAATTCAGGTACATCCACTGAACAAGTCCCAAATAAGAAAGCCGGAATGTGTATCCTGACGTAAATTACTGTCTACCAATCTGACTAGCAGCCAGCTCTCACCATACTACTTCTCCTGTGGTGACGTCCCCAATATTAGTCATGTGAAAACAAGAACAAAGACTGATAGCAGGCTGTGCGTAGGCGGATACAATTAGCAGATAGATGATCTGACACTCAAGAAGATGAAAGATTAAGTTATAGTGAGAAACAACCAGTCAGAAGACTGTGTTTGTCTGCTAACGATAATCTATAAGAATCTACATGAAAATCTATGAATAACTGTTGATTTCATAAATAAACGATCTGTAGCCTGGCCCCTTGTCTTCTGTTGTTACATTAGTAACAAAGTAAAAGTAATAAGTACCCACGACTATTGGAATAATTAACTGAACGCACCAAAGTGCACAAAGGTGGAATAACACAAAACACAACCTCTATATATAATTTACACACACGTAAAGTAAATCCAAGTAGCTAGTATTGATGATGACGGGGTGGGGCAGAGACTGTTTTGAAGAATATAAAAAAGACAAAGGTGAAAGAGGAACAACTGTGCAATGGAATCAATACATAACATTTAATGGGTAGTGTTGAAAGAAAATTCAAGTAAATCTTAGCTAAGACAGACATCTATATTATTACTGCTGCATACGTCACAGCTATGCGAATCACCAAACTAGTGTCAAGTAAAGTGAAAGAAGGCAGTAGAAGATGATGCTGATATACATCACTTCGATCACATGAAATTAAGTAGTAGTAGTAGTAGTATTAGTAGTGACCTTGAGGAGAAGGTATACATGAAAGACAATGAAAGTATAATGTCATCCGTCATCATCATATGCTACTACACGCAAAGAATCAATAATAGTGTTAAACTGATACCTGAATAGTGAAATCTACTTCTTTTTTGGCTTTTCCTTTAATTCATATTAGCAAAATTAGTGTTAGTATGTTCAATTATAAGTGTAGTTCAATGTGAATCAATCAATCGACTTTTTCAAAAGTTAGTTTTTTTTAGGGGGGGGGGGAATTTGATTTGTTTCAAGTTTGATCGTGGATTGATGTCGGTTAGAGGAGCATGCGAAAATCAGCTGTTTCATCCTGCTAGTTTGAGACTATTCTTAGCCATATGCACCACCAATGACTCCACGACCAGGGATCAAACCCAGGGTCTTCAAGTTACAAAACCGAACGAGTTGACTATTGAGAGCCATTTAGGATGGAATTTAAAGACCTTTGAATTCTAACTTTGTCAACTCGAGATATGATGCTTTGCACTCACTCACCAATGTCTTTGAAGAGTCCCCAAACAGGACGAAACAGCTGTCCAGTGCCCCCAGTAGGGATTACTGAACAGGTGTTTCATCCTACTACTCTGCAACTCATCGGCCGTACAAACCTAATGGGTTTCAAATCCACGACCTTCGAATTACAAGGAAAGCTCGCAAACTATTCATTCAGCCACTGATACCCAACTCAATGGCCTATTAAATGGTTTACGAGCTGCCCCTTGTAACCGACAGGTCCTGAGTTCGAACCCTGGTGATGAGTGCATACTTCTGATGAGTCCCAAACTAGGCTAAAAAACAGATATCCAGTACTCTCTACTGGCTTTCAATGATTCCCTAATTTGATATCAATTTTATCTGAAATTAGGTAAATTCAAGTAAAGAAACAGGCAATTCAATTTAATTTTCTCTAACCTTTGCAAAATCCATGTCATTGCTTGACATTCGAAACCATGTTAACTGCATATGCAACGAACCAGTTTTGACACCTTCCAAAGATGCCCACTATGTGTTGATGAAAAAAGAAAAGAAAAACAGAAACAGAAATGAAACATACAAAATTGATCGTAAAAAATGGAAGAGCAAAAAAATTCTCAATTGAACACACCATTTCAAATGGCATGACGACTGCAATACAGAACAAGGTGCAGAGAATCAAAACAGGTGCATTAACGAAGAGACTCTTTTCAACGAATTTATTATCAAGCTATACAATCGTATGTATATCCTTTTTAAGAAATTATATCCGATGCATAAAATAATAATAGTGATATGAAATGATTAAAATGTTTGTGATTATAGCCATAGTTAAATGTCAAGTGGCAAAACAAGGACATTATCCTGCATGGTTATGAAGAGGTGGAATTGGAGCAATGAGAATCGCGATCACTGAACATCTGGTCGATAGTGATCACCCTATCTCTACAGCCTCCACCTTTAAAAGCCTTTACAAGGCAAAAAGTAATTTACCGAAATCACTACGTATCCGACTCATCTGTATTGCTGAAGCTTTGGCCATTGAAATACGAAAGTCAAATCTCCGTATACAGAAAAAGTTCATTCAACCCCCCAACCCAACTTTCATGGTCTATACTAAAGTATGGAAATCCCTAATCCTTCGTCATTTTAAATCAGTTCTGGTTTGCAACTTTAAAATTCAGTGTTATCAAATTAAACACAACGTTTTTATTTTATTCTATTTACCTATTAATCCTATAATTCAACACCCTTTCCAAGTTCTATACATCCTATGAATTATTCTATATGTGATATTAATTGTTTTGCCATTTGACATTTAACTATGGTTGTAATTACAAACGTTTTAATTGCATTTCATATTATTATTGTTGTGGTGTAATGCAGACAATATGTGCCGACGGAATATTATTCTCACATATTCCTACAGTTCAATACTGCATCAGCAACAGAATACTGTGTATATTTGAACATTCTATTTCATGTCGTTTAGTGCAAACCCAAATCACAAGCTCAGTGATTGGTTAAAGAATATTAAACTGTATGGATATAAATAGCAGTTTGATCACTTGAAAGTATACCTTGCCTTCTGCTGCTACACTGTTTTTATTTTATGCATTCACACCCGTGATTCAATTCCCTTATCGGATATTATATATATATATATGATTTTACAGCTTGATAATAAATTCGTTGAAAAGAATCTCCTATCTGATTCAGGAAGTCTTCGTGTGCTTTTCAAAGTGTTACGTATGTTTTACATGTGTTACGCATGCCTAGCCATCGCCTTCCTCGAGGGTCAAAGTTAGCTGACATAGGGTCAGGCTGAAAAAGAGCCAGTGGTGGTCAAACCAAAACATAGCTTCATCAGTCAATGAAATCCACAACAGCTCGTTTAAGCCATGTCGGGAGGTCTAGACTTCCTGGCTGAGGTCCTCGGGACGGTAAACATCAATGATTGGAGACAATTGGTGGTATGGCTCAAAATCCTCGTTCTCAATGGCTGGTGCAGATGCATCCACTCCTTGTGACTTATAATACCCAATAAAAACTATGTGGTTCTTCGATATTACTATTCCTCTTGGCTCATATCTCTGTTTACTGTCTCTATTTTGAATTTCTTTTTACTTTCTTCTCTCGCTTTGTGTACTACATGGAATGAGTGTGGTGACTTGAACTGCTGCACATTGGTGCAAAGTTCTTTGTTGAAAACAATCAGTCAGTCAGTCTTCGCTGATTCAATTATTTTGATTTTCTATATGACACAATGGAATTTTCCACTGTGTTGGAAAAAAAGGTAGAATAGCACTGCTGCAGGTAGGTGTCAATGGAGAAGTGACTGATTAGCGCTTAAGCACTGATTTCTCATAGCAATAACATCTACACCAGGCACAGTGCATATTCTTCAGATAGAGAGAGAGAGAGCAGTTTTCATAATGGCATTGATGAAAAAGTTTGAAAGGAAATGAAGAGAAGCAGGTAAGTTGACTGAAAATAATAATGATATAGGGTTGTATAGCATCACTATAGCAGAAGTGGCGTTGTGCAGAGCTTTCAGAATTCTGAGGAACATCTCAGGTATATTTTCCTTTATTGGACAATTTGATATGTATTAGTCTACTAGTCAGATAAAAACAAGTCACATGGTGCCGCATGATGGGCGTCAACCAATCAAAATCCAGAATACAGTTAACGCCTACTACTATTTAAGCCTTGTGACTGACTTGATCGATATATATGCCATATATTTTTGTAATCATAGTGTCACTTTTCTCTCACGTGTTTTGGAAATACTCGTTTTCACCAACCCTACTACTACAACTGCGTGAGTATTCAGGATTTTATCTAGTTCGGTTGGGGAGATAATAATAATCGACCAAGAAATTATCAGGCATTCATATCGTAAATTATAGCATTCGTACTCACACATTCGGCGACAAACTAACACAATTCCAAAGAATAATTCTACCCAGTAAATCAAAGGCAAACTTAATATCAAAAGACACAGAGATTGTTGACCTGTATGAGCATGTGACGGTGTTCTAACACCTGGTCGAGAGGGTGAACGTGTGACACAATCGAATTTTTGCAAAGCATGATAGCAACTACTGGCTTTTTTTTGACATGACAGACTAATACCCCAAGAATTTTCGCATGCATTCAGAGGGCTCTTTTTAAAGTCAGGTAAGATGATGACCAGATACTCCACATTACGATAAGCAATTTAGGCGGCTCCTTGACTAGTCTTATTATCGCCTTCATAATAAACCTCTGATGCTGCTACAGGACTGGACTACGTCAACTCCTAGCTTAGTGATAGGGAGTGAAGTGATAGAACATGTTGACCACTTCACCTATTTGAGAAGCTGCATCAGCACCAACGGATCGATTGGTGACGAAATCTCAGTACGGATCCAAAAAGCTCGGGCTGCTTTCGCTAACTTACACCGTCTCTGCTCAGCAGTTCGCTCCGTCCTTCTCTATGGCTCTGAAACACGGCCAATACGAGTTGAAGACATGAAAAGGTTGACTGTTTTTGATCAGAGATGTCTACGATCTCTTTCTCACATTAGGTGGTATAATAAGGTAAGTAATGTTGACGTTAGGCGTAGAGTGTTGGACAAAGAGGGAAAATCAATCGAAGAGGCTATAAAGTTACATAGATTAGAGATGGCTAGGTCACGTGTTGCGCATGCCTAACCATCGCCTCCCCTGACGGGCATTACTAGCTGATATAGGTGCAGGTTGGAAACGTCTAAGTGGTAGCCAGACAAAAACATGGCATCAATCCATGAAATCCCTGACAGTTAAACTGAGTCAGGTAGGGAGGGAGATGCAGACTTCCGGGTTGGGGCCCGCCCTCGGGACTCTAAGAATCAATGGCTGGAGACACTAGGTGACATGGCTCAAAATCGTCAATGGCACAGATGTATTCAGTCTCTGTAATCTTTCATATTCCTTTCTACCATTACTCATTCTGTTTCACTCCTATACTTATCAAAACTCTATTGATTCTCTTCACTCATTTTCTTGTCTACCTTTGTGTGCTATTTGTAACGTGGCAACTGGAACTGCTGCACTTCGGTGCCAAGTTCTATGTTGAATCCAGCAGCAGCAGCCTTATAACCCTTGAGAACTTGGAATCGCCTTCAAATCTTAATTATTTAAGCTGGATTAGTTTCGACCGAACGAAGAGCACTGTGCATCAGAACACAAAAGACTGATTTCATAGGTTTTTAAAGGTGCTCTGCTCAATTTTTCTGAGTAGTAAAATTTGTATATCACTAGGCTCAGAGACCAGTCCATACATAAATACATTATCATACAACTCATTAAAAATCTTGGCTTTAAAATATTGACGAATGACCTTCATCCATATGCACTTATATTCACGAGTTGAAGGTCGCTATATGCACTACTGTGATTCACCGTAATGACGCACTGCATTAGGTGATATATTTTACTAGAAAATTATTTTCAGTATCAAGTATGGAAGTAAATGTTTTTTATTAGACTGTGACGTTGCATTGTATCAAATTATGTCTAAATAACGATGATAATAATAAAAGTGTGTCAGTGTCAGCAGCAAAGACAACAAATAAGAAAGACAAAAAAAAACAAATTACTGGATGTCATCATGAACACACATTGATGGAAAAGATTTGTAGCTCAGGTGGATAACTTTGATGTGGTGGTGTTCTCTGAGCTGGATAGTTAATTTGCGAAGATTTCATTACCCCCTACTAGGCAACATCTTCAACGCATACCTCAATTTGATGAAGTGAGCTTTCAGATTTCTCCCCGAGTTTATTAGTCATCTCTCCTGGTCGCCTGGACCTCGAACGTGACTGGTTGGTTTTGTGTGTTTTCACACCCGCTAAGCAGCTACTTGTATTGGTACTGATTGTTTCCTTGACCTGAAGTTTGACCCTTGGTGTCTGTTAATTGACGACTCACTGGAATACCAGGCAGCCTTCTAAAAATTCCTCTGTCTAATACTTGAACATTTTCCCAGTCGAGATGATGTCCGTGATTGTTTGTATGTAGTGATATGAGGGAGTGGATGTCATGTCTTTTGACGGCAAGCTTATGGTCATGGATACGAAGACGAAAGGGACGTCCACTTTGGCCAATGTAGTGTTTTTCTCAGTTGTTACAATTTATTTTGTAGATGAATGCTAGAGAATTTTTAGAAGCCTGGTATTCCAGTGAATCGTCAATCAGTAGACACATCGAGATCGACAAAATTTACCAACCGACAAGAAGGAAATCTCAAACACAAAGCGTCAATGTTCAAGTCAAGGAAACAACCAGTTCCAATACAAGTAGCCTAGAGGGTGTGAAAACACACAAAGACAACGTTCAAGGTCACCAGGAGAGATGACTAATAAACTCGTGAAGAAATCTGAAAGCTCACTTCATCAAATTGAAGTATGCGCTGAAGATACTACCCAGTAGGGCAGCTTCACAAATTAACTATCCAGCTCAGAAGACACAACAGACATCAGTTAGAGAGCCATTGGAAAACCTGAAAGAACAGGAAAGTTGTTTCTTCCTGGTTTGGGACTCCTCATCAGTACGCACGCATTGTGGTCCCAACCTAGGACCTTCCGCTTACAAACCCGGTGGGTTCGTATTGATGAAGAGTCCCAGACTAGAGCGAAATTGGGAAACGAATTAAAACCCTGCAAACCAAATTAATTTTTATGGTAATGTCAGTCAAATAATGGTTAGTAACTGTTAGATCTCGCAAATGAAACTTGAGTCAACAGGCCGTTATCGTTGTTGGAGGAAAAAATGAACACAAAGAGAAGGAGTGTGGTGAGAGCTGTCCGCTAGCCAAAAATACAGCCACCAATTTACGTCAATGTCACGAAATAGAACAATAGCAAAGTCTAACCTTGAGGAGCTCAACAACCAATCACGGCACACTTAGTGTGGGCGGACAAGATTCGCAGATATATCACTGGACTGTCTAAGAAACGGCAACAAAGAGATGACAGAATAACCTTCAGTAGGAAAACAATCAATCAGAAGACGTTGCTTCTCTGCTAACAATAACGATAATAATAATGTACATAAAAATCTATAAATATCTGTTGATTTTCTCAATAAACGATCTGCTTCCTGGCCCTTGTCTTCTGTCGTTACAGCAGAAAGAGAGTACAAAGCACATTTCGAATAGGAATTTCAACTGATTTACACACACAGAGCATTATCTTATATACCAACACAACCCTCCAACTCTTCTCATAGTTCAAAGACCTTGAGTAGGAAACATTTCATATCTTTAGGAACAGAAATTCAAAACTGATATACTCTATCCGCCTGAAATACTGCAATCACTGATAATACAATAGCCAGATAGAACTGCACCCCTGCACAAAAAAATTGGTTTATGTGGCGCCTACAAATCCTAATAACGATGAAAAAAACTAACTCGATCGACATTCTTCGTGTTTATAAATATTCGACTATTTATAACAGCTGAAAAAGAAGAGAGAACCATTGAAAACCTGGGAGTACTGGGCAGCTGTTTCATCCTAGTTTGGGAGTCATCGGTAGTACGCACCCACTGCCATGGGTTCGGATCCAGGACCTTCTGGTTACAAGGCAAGCTAACTCGTACACCATTCAGTCATTGAGATCCCATTCAATGACAAACCCATGAATTCTAAATTCTACCGATTCGTGATTTAGCGCGACCCCAACCATTGTCGTAGGTGGGACATCCATCTTCAAACATGACATATGGATGGACCTCACTGGTCACGATTTCTCTCTAGAACTCCAGGAAACTCCATCCTGTAGCAAGTCACTAGCGAGCATCAGATTAATTTTCTATAGTTGGTTTGTAAAGGTTAGTTTTGTTTTGTTTTTACGAGTTGATCACGGATTGATATCAGTTAGAGAATCATTGAAAACCAGGGAGTACTGGACAGCTGTTTCATCCTAGTTTGGGAATCATCGGCAGTACGCACCCACTAGGGTTCGAACAGCTGTCCAGTACTCCAATGCTGGTTTTCAATGGTTCTCTAACTGATATCAATCCGTGATCAACTCGTAAAAACAAAACAAAACTAACCCTCATAAACCAAACTATAGAAAATTAAGTCTAAGCTCAGCAGAGATCACCATTCATTGAGTTTTGTCATCTGGAAACACCGGCTTCGGTAGCTTGGTCTTGTGCTAATACGACTGCCACTCCAGAGGCTTCCGTACCGGCTTCTATCCGCTAGTCTTGGGACTAGATAGAAAAAGCGGAGAGGTAGTCAGCCTATGATGTGGCATTGTGGAATGAAGGATATTTGTGTTAGTTTGGGGTCCGAGAGATAGTCCAAATCCGGTAACTCAAAACTTTATCAGATATATATATATATGGTCAAAAATTGCAATCAGCAGCGAACATGCTGCAACTTCTCCTTCTTTCTTCCTAATTCTGGAAGTACCATGAAGTAATGAATGTTGAAGGATCTTGAAAAATATGCTTTCTTGATTTCTTGATGACGATGTTCTTCAATTATTCCTCTGCCTATTTTCTTTATGTACTGTTGTTTCATTCTTATTGTGTGGCGAATCACTTGGTGCCTATATTATACCAAGTTTGGGTTTCAAATAAGATAAATAAAACTATGCTCTGTTGAACAAAAGAACTTTTTGACATTCTACTTTAATCTGTTAATGCTTTGAAATCGATAGACCCATTAAAGACTATCCATTATTAGTGTTGTCTTGGGTTGCGAGTGAAATACAGGGCTTCAACAACACATCTCCACTTTGTTCTATTCTCTGCTGTCCTTCTTGGCTGGGATCACGATAGCCCACAGTCTCTAACCTCCTCTATCTCACCCTCAGACGACCCACTCGTCGCTTCCCATTCGGGTTCCACTCGAGTGCCTGGCGCTCGGTGTCACTCAAAAGTCAACTCAGCGTGTGCCCAATCCATCTCCATCTTCTTCTGCATATTTGTTGAGCAATCGGTTTTTGATTTGGTTTGTTCATATAGTTTCTTGTTGTTAATTCTTTCTGGTTACTAGATCTTCAGAATGGAGCCAGAGAAGGCAACTGTTGATAAAAGTCTGCGACTGGCAGTTGGAAATGCTTGGTACTTATTTTCCTCTTTTCACCTAGACTGCATATCACTGTTCTGACGTTTGTATATTATCTTTTCTTTTTTTGATTACAGCTTGATTCCACACCGTATTTTTTGGTACACGCATGGAATTTTCAGCATGTGATATCGGTAGCCCAAATTTTGTAAGCCGACCATAGATATCAGGTGTGCCTCGGCAGGAGATCGAACCCCGGACCATGAGCATGGTCGGCGAGAGTCATAACCGCTGTGCTACCGACGCACATCTGTTGACTTAATCGTCATTATGGATAAGATTTTATTTTGATAAATCACACAGTGTTACACAGTTACATTAACTGATGACCAAGTTTCGAGCACAAATTATTGCTCATAATCATATCAAGTTACTCACACAACTTTTTCCTTCATTTGTGCTCGAAACGTGGTCATCAGTTAATATTACTGTGTAACACTGTGTGATTTATCAAAATAAAATCTTATCCATAATGGAGTTACACTCTACCACAGTGCCCAAGTTTTATACTTATATCAATTAATCCTCATTAGTCTTTGTTCGTCTTTGTGCGTCGGTGGTATAGCGGTTAGGATGCTCGCCGACCATGCACATGGTCCGGGGTTCAATCCCCGGCCGACGCACTCGTTTACCTCGCTGAGCCAGAAATAATGCTGGTAAAGAAGAAAGGTTGGACATGAGGTTATCAACCCCATCCTGTAAAATAAACACTGTTACAGAAACTTCAAGCCACTAGCTTGAAGCCCTATGTTCCACTGGGGAACGTGAAGGAAAAAAAAAGTCTTTGTTCGTATTTAGTCTCTAAAGTTAGTGCTTCTCTTTGTGACTGTGTAATTATGGTATCGATAATGTGTGTTATTTTACGCATGTGATTTAGTTTGAGTGAGTCAAGCTCATTCTGACCTTGAACGGTTTTGCTGGCAGACATTTGATCCCACTTTGTTAGAAATAATCAACTTGATTCTCAATTACTTTTTACACAGTTGATTTTCGGTCAATTAATTTTGTTCTAAAGTATTTATTTGACTTGTATATAGCTACCATAACTCCACTATCGGGGTAGATTTAAGTTTCTAATGTTTATTATAGTTCTATTTACAACTATGAATTTTACAGCGAATAACTGTCCTTTTTCCGGTTTTCGGAGAGTGACTGCACGTGTCTCAAGGAATTTTTGATCAGCTATACAGTAGGACGTGCGTCGGTGGTATAGCGGTTAGGACGCTCGCCGACCATGCACATGGTCCGGGGTTCGATCCACGGTCGACGCACTCGTTTACCTCGCTAAGCCAGAAATAATGCTGGTAAAGAGGAAAGGTTGGGCATGAGGCTAGCAACCTCATCCTGTTAAATAAACACTGTTACAGAAACTTCAAGCCACTAGCTTGAAGCCCTATGTTCCACTGCGGAACATGAAGGAAAAAAAATACAGTATGACGCAAAAATCGATTTCCTACTTTCAGATGACAACGAGTAGGTGTATTTGGCCGATTACAATGACACAGAAGAATAATTTTCAAAAATGCATATTACACAATATAACACATTCGAAATAACACTCGAAGTTTTATTCACACTCACCGTATCGATTTCACCTTCATTGAACACGGATTCTACTGGTATTGAAGTGCTGTAATGACAAGTCGGAAAAGAATTACCAAAACAAAAAAATGTGTGATTAGTATATACAGAACTTAATTGTTAACAAACAAAATACGATAATTGAAAAAAAAACAAAAAAATACATGAATTCTAACTAATACAAAAAAACAAAAAACAAATGTACTTTCAATAATTCGTTCAGACCTGTTTTTATTTGTTCTGAATGATTCAGTGTACCGAGAAACTATGTTATTATTTGAAAGCATTATTTAATTTTGTACTCATGCACAACTAAAAAATACACAGACAAGCATTTCAAACATTTCAGGACATAAACATGTAAATGAATAAAACAAAAATACTTTGTTGTTCATGTTATGTGTGAATACGGGAACACAATGAAAAACAAAAACCGAGGACATTAACTAGGTGTCAGTTGAGCTAAAATCACGAATTGGTAAAAATTGGAATTCATGGGCGATTGAATCGGGTCCCAGTTACTGAATGGTCTACAAGCTTCCTTTGTAACCAGAAGGTCCAAGGTTCGAGCCCTGGGGGTGGGTGCGCAATGCTGATGATTCCCAAACTGGGACGAAACAGCTGTCCAGTACTCTCCAATGCTGGTTTTCAATGGTTCTCTTAACTGATATCAATCCGTGGTCAAACTTGAAAAAAGTATTCAAACGTGTTCTCAAACCATAAATCACTATACGCTAGTACTATTATAACAACAGAAGACAAGGGCTAGGCAACAGATCGTTTATTAAGGAAAATCGACACATATTGATAGATTTTAATGTACATTGTTGCAGATTATTGTTAGTAGGAAATACAGTCTTTCGATTGGTTGTTTCTCACAGAAAGTTAACCTTGCATCTCTTTGTGGCTGTGTCAGATCATCCATATGCTAACTGTATCCGCCCACGCAAAGCTTTTGTTCTCATTTTCTCACCACCAATATTGGGGACATAAACATTGACGTCAATTACTGTCTACCGACTTTGGCTAGCAGCCAGTTCTCACCGCCGTATGTTTTGTTCAGAACTATCTATCCTAGTTCAACAATGAAGCTTTGATTATAGCCATAAAAATCTTGAATAAATAAGCACCAGATTGCCATAGGACCCAAATCAATTCTAATAAACCCTTGCAAATTTATATACATAAATGTGGTTAATTTAATATAAATCATATCACATTTGAGGTGTCTCAGTCTGTCCATCGATCTTGATTGCTTTCAAACTCAAACCAGAAGTTTAAACTTGAAGTTTCTCATTAAACACATCGGCAGTAGAACACCTTTCATAGACTTGAAAATAAGAAGAAACAGTTCACTGATGAGTCTCCTTTTGGCGAATTCATTCACACTTAGCTGTACAATGGCGATTATACATAAATAATTATTTTTATATGTATGTATACAACATTAAGTTTGTCAAAAAAGAATTAGTTTTCAAGGGTGTGTATGCAAGGATTAGATTTGTTTTGACGAGTTGATCATGGATTGATATCAGTTAGAGAATCACTAAAAACCAGCAGAGAGTATTGGACAGCTGTTCCGTCCTAGTCTGAGGCTCATCGGAAGAGGGGTTTGAACCCAGAACCGTCTGCTTACAAGCTCGTAGATCATTCAACCACTGGGATCCAACCCAATGGTCCATGAATTCTAACTTCTACCAATTTATGTTTTTAGCTTGACCACCAGCCATTGTCATCGGCGAGTATTTGTCCTCACTCCCGACCGGCTGGACCCCAACGCCGATGAGTTCCAAACTAGGACAAAACAGCTGTCTAGTACTCCGTGTTGGTTTTCAATGGTTCTCTAACTGATATCAATCCATGATTAGACTTGAAACAAGAATTAGTTCGGGTTATTGTAAATAGAAGTGAGTGTGTGTGTGAAGATTAGTACGCTTAGACTGGGGGTCAAGTAACATGAAAACTTTCAGAAAAAATTGGATTTTAATATATCGAAGGTGAAAAGAGTAAATACAAGGTTGGTTAAGAAAATGATGATAATTTCATACGGAAAAGACACAAAGTAGTATTAATAACAAAAGATTCAGAACAGTTGAACTCGAAATTATACCCAAGCTAAAACAACACATTTAACACTGGCCATTCAATATGTGAAGAAAATTCATTCAAAGTTATCTACAAAGTTAAAAGAAGGTATTCGAAAACATTAAGCTTCCGTATACTTTGCATTGCCAAGGACGTAGCGATTTTTGGATGGAAAATCCTGATTTATTTACAAAGAAAAAACTTCTCCATGCCCTCCTTTTACCTTAGGCGCAATTCCAAGCTCAACTATTGTCAGTACTGTGTTAATAATCTTATTTTGTGCATTTTTTGTACGACGTTTATTATTATCATCATCATTATCATTTGCTAAAGCAACCTCCTACTCACTCTTCCTATCTACTACATAATTTACTTTGATACTGGTCCCATGATCTTTCATGAACATGCGATTTTTTCTGATCATTTTTCCTATTACGCAACTTTAGTCTATACTCACCAACCGACACAGCCTAGTTTACGATTTGATTATTCATCACTGCTTCGAAATATTCTCAGCACCTAAAAAAAATACGCCAATCTAATTTGTGCTATTTTTGACAGACAGAATGTACACACTTCCATATTAGTTTTTTTATTAGATGTATCACACAGTGAGTGAAACGGTATTATTTACTGGATGACGTTTCGAACAAAATTTATTTTTCATAATCATATCAATAATAAGACTTCGAAACTTGAGTTTTATAGTTTTCTTTGTTATCTCCTATTTGTCATCGTTGAGGTAGTGGAATTTTCCAGATATCTGCCTGGACAGATGGTGAATCATTCCTATTACATGTATTTGCAGTTGATTCGATAAACAAAGCTTCTGCTATCAATCTTTCCCTATACCCTGTGACATTAGTTCTTAAAACTGTCATCCTATCCCACCCTATTGTATGGTTGTGTGTAATTGCATGTAGTGCTTTAGCCAGCTAAACTGTTCTCTAGATTCCTTATCTTATTCGGGTCAACCAATCTAGATTTGGCTAAGTTTTTATGTTCAGCTAGTCTGACTGCCCCTGTTCTACTAGTTTGACCTATGTATTTGACCTGACAATCAGTGCAGGTAGGGTATTAGATAAACTAAATTGTTTTGTTTTAAAGGCTCTACAGGATCCTTTAACCGACAAAGCTTGTTTCTAACTGAGTTTGTGGGTTTGAATGCCGTTTTCATTCCTGCCTTCTTGACAATTCTGCGTAAGGCTTCCGAGGTTCCTTCCTTGTATGGAATTACTACTGATGATTTAGATTCCTTATTGTTGGTGTTGTCATTAATATTATTATTATTATCACCATTATTATTATTATTATTATCACTATCGCTACTATCATTATTTATTTATTTTTACATTTCCTTACATATTTCCTGACTAATTTATCAGGGTAATTATTAAGTTTCAAGGCTTCTTTTATGTGTATCAGTTCCTGTTTTAAATTTTCTTTGGTGCCACTTAGTTTTTGTGCTCTGTCATTTAAACATTTCACCAATCCTATTTTCACTAACATAGGATGGGATGATCGGAAGTTCAAATATCAGATATTTTGACAGATATGACAGTTTTAAAATCTTATGTCACAGGTTGGAGGGAGAGATTAATAACAGAAGCTTTATTTATCGAATCAACTGCAAATACATGTAATAGGAATGATTCATCACCTGTCCCCGATATCTGGAAAATTGCACTACCCCAACGACAAATAGGAGATAACAAAGAAGACTATAAAACTCAAGTTTCGAAGTCTTATTATTGATATGATTATGAAAAATAAATTTTGTTCGAAACGTCATCCAGTAAATAGTACTGTTTCACTGTGTGATACATCTAATAAACAAACTAATATGGAATTACTTACCACCACAGTGCCCAAGTTTTACACATATATTGGAATGTACACACACACACACATTAAACTACTTATATATAATTGCGATTGTACAACTAAGTGAATGAAGTAGCCGAAAAGCAACACTTCGCTAAACTGTCTGTTCTTATTTCCAATGTTTGGATGTGTATTTTTCACATAACTTTATAGACGATCGCTACTCATTTCGTAGAGGATATCTTGACAACAACAAAAAATGAAACCCCGGAAGCTGGATGCAAGTAAAATCGGCACAGTCAACAAAGAGTACATATATCTTACAGAAATTGTTATCGTCCAATGGTTGCGCCGATCTGACAGACTTATATTTACGTCGTCAAACTGTTTACGGACGAAACAATAAACATCCTCTATGGCGAAAACAAAATACTAATGAAGCACTCAATCAGCTCCAAAAGGCGTGTGTACTGCTCAACAGTCCGCTCCGTCCTCCTTTATGACTGTGAGACCTGGCCATTGAGAGCGGAAGACATGAAAAGATTAGCTGTGTTCGACCATAGGTGTCTGCGTTCTATCTCCCGTGTGAAGTGGTATAATAAGGTGAGCAATATTGAGGTTAGGCGTAGAGTGCTAGGTAAGGCGGGAAAATCAATCGACGAGACTGTGAAATTACATCGACTGAGATGGTTAGGACATGTGTTATGTATGCCTAGTCATCGCCTTCCTCGACAATGGGCAATGTTAGCTGATATAGGGTCAGGCTGGAAAAGAGCTAGTGGCGGTCAAACGAAAACATGGCACCAGTCAATGAAATCCACAACAGCTAGTCTAAGCCACGTAGGAAAGTGTAGACTGGCTTCCTGGTTGGGGTCCTCGGGACGGTAAAAACCAATGTTTGGAAACAATGGGTGACATGGCTCAAAATCGTTCTCAATGACAGCGCAGATGCATCCACTCCTTGTGACTTATAATACCTAATGACACTATATTGTTCTTTGTTATTACTATTCCTTTGTTTCACACCTCTGTTTACTGTCTATATTATGCATTTCTCCTACTTTCTTCTCTTGCTTTGTGTACTACGTGGATGGAGTGTGGCGACTTGAACTGCCGCACATATGTGCAAAGTTCTATGTCGAAAACCGACCGACCGACCGACTCAATCAGCACGGTAGGTGAAAAACTGGTTCACAGTCGAATGACGAGAATTTGAACAGTTAACAAAAGACAGATGGATTAAAATGAAGCACTGAAAAATAAGATACCTAGTCATCAATAATTACAATCCAGGTAGACTGTTTTGCCTACATCTATGAAGAGATAAATAAATATGAAGGCTTCAAGTTTGACCACGGATTGGCTGAAAACCAAGGACCACTGAACATTTGTTTCGTCCTGATTTGAGATTCATCAGCAGTACGCATCCACCAAAGGGGTTAGAACCCAGAACCTTTTGGTTACTAGAGAAGCTGGCAGATCATTCACAGCCACTGGAAACCAACTCAATGAACCATGAATTCCAACTTCTGCCAATTGAGGATTTTAACTTGGCCATCAGACAGTGGGTCATAGGCCAAAGTATTTATTCTAACTAACGATCAGGTGGAACCCACTGGTCACGAATTCTCACCTTCGTTCTGTAGCTGGTCACTAGTGCGCATCAGATTAATTTCATTAAAGTGCGAACAGTAAATCACATGACACTGTTGTCCGATATTTGTGTGTTCATATATATATCGTTTTAAAGTACATGTTAAAACAAGTTATTTTGAACAGTTTATTATCTGAAATTATTAAAAATACAACAATACACACACTTACCAGCCTAAATAATCATCCTTATTGCCCTGATCTTTGTCATACACCTCCACTGTGACTGATTGACCATGACAAATATCCACGATAAACTAAATTTAGTGAAATAGTAGTAATAAAGGTTTCAATACAACAACAACAACAAAATTTAACAAGATTAGTAAGCTGTGGATATACTAAACAAGATTATCAAGTCATACAAAAAACAAACATTAAAGCAAGAGTGTCCACATTCCAGCTCATTAATTTCACTATGAATCCACATGGCGACATGACTGTACACGACCTGCTGCTAAGTCGTCAGTCGAAAGACACAGGAATATGAACGAATTAATTTTTAGACGAACATATCTAAAGTATTTTAGAATAGCTTAGCAATAATGTCGGTTAACTTCAATATGAATAGCTAGTAGCAACCTAGTGAATAAAGTCGGTCGAAAAGTAGATTTATGAAGATTAAAGATGACCATTAAAAATTGCAAAAGATTGCTTGATGAATGCACAGAATATTCTTTTCAATAACCTCTTTTTCATCAGAGCTACTACAGTTTTATTATCCATAATAATGAAAGACTTATTGCTATTGACAGCATTACTGTTTTTTTAAGGCAAAATTGAACGAATGAAATCAGAATTACAAAAAAGGTATTGACAACTAGTAGGTTGTTAACAGATTATAGTTCAAAACACCTGTGTATGCGATAACACGTATAAATGTAACAATAAATTGAACAACCAAATATACCAAAGTAATTGATCATGTATAACACACCGAAAACATATAAATGAATTCCCATGAGTAGTGTTCATATTAAGTCGGGTCGCTCAGTCGGTTTTCGACATAGAACTTTCCACATATGTTCGGCAGTTCAAGTCGCCACACTCCCTCCTTGTAGCACACAAAGCAAGAGAAGAAAGTAGGAGAAATGCATAATATAGACAGTAAACAGAAGTGTGAGACAAAGGAATAGTAATAACAAAGAACAATGTAGTGTCATTAGGTATTATAAGTCACAAGGAGTGGATGCATCTGCGCCACTGAGAACGATTTTGAGCCATGTCACCAATTGTTTACAACCATTGGTTTTTACCGTCCCGAAGACCCCAACCAGTCAAGAAGTCTATACCTTCCTACGTGGATGGCTTAGACTAACTGTTGTGGATTTCACTGACTGGTGCCATGTTTTCGTTTGACCGCCGCTAGCTCTTTTCCAGCCTGACCCTATATCAGCTAACATTGCCCATTGTCGAGGAAGGCTATGACTAGGCATACGTAGCACATGTTCTAACCATCTCAGTCGATGTAATTTCACAGTCTCGTCGATTGATTTCCCCTCCTTACCTAACACTCGACACCTAACCTCAGTATTGCTCACTTTATTATACCCATTCACGCGGGAGATAGAATGCAGACACCTATGATCAAAGACAGCTAATCTTTTCATGTCTTCCACTCTCAATGGCCAGGTTTCACAGTCATAAAGGAGGACGGAGCGGACTGTTGAGCAGTACACACGCCCTTTGGTCGGTAGTCGGATATCACGTCTACGCCAGAGACGGCGTAAACTGGCATATGCGAAACTAGCCCTCTGTATTCGTGCTGAGATTTCGTCGGAGATCAACCCGTTGGGGCTGATGGTACTTCCCAAGTAATTGAAGCGGTCAACGTGCTCTACCACTTCACTTCCTATTTCTAATCTAGGGGTCGGTGAAGTCCAATCCTGCAGCATCATCTTACATTTTACAGGGGCGAATCGCATGCCAAACATACGAAGATTGTTGCTCAAGGTGTTCAGTAGACTCTGCATTTTGTCAGCGTCCTCGCCTAGAAGTACTATATCGTCCGCATATTCTAAGTCGACGAGATTATTCCCTGGTAGCAAGTCAATCCCTGAGTCGCTGAAGTGTGTTAGGGTTAATTCCATTAGTACATCTATGATGAAGTTGAATAGAAATGGAGATAATGGGCATTCTTGATGGACGCCACTAGTCGTCACCACTTCAGATGACAACTCGCCATAAGCCCTCACCTGGCTGCATGAGTACGAGTAGAGTGCCTTAATCAGTGCAATGTATTTTCTCGGCATTCCCTTTACAGCCAAGTATCGCCAGAGAACCTCTCGGTCGACAGAATCGAATGCCGCCTTTAGGTCAAGAAATATAGTGATTGTCGGACGCCGGTAGGAATGCCTATGTTCTAGAATTTGTCGAAGGGTGAAGATATGATCAATACACCCTCTTCCTGGCCTAAAACCTGCCTGGTTTTCTCGTGTTCATATTAAGTTCTATTCATAGTGATTATAAACTTTAGACGGATGAATGATCATGTCAATGACAGGGATGTATGTGACAGAAAGTTAATGAGTACGTTTAAATAAGGAAACAAAAGATTAGTTTATACAAGTTCAATAATAGGGGTTAAGGGAATTTAATATATATATATATATATATATATATATATATATATATATATATATATATGCAGAATGGAAGGCCATAATACGTAAAAACAAAACTGGTCGACAAAGTAGAGTATTTATGTGAATTTGTAGATTCCACAGCAGGCTAACTGGGGGTGGGGTGGGCAGTAGTGGCTGGATAGAGCTGTGTTAAAGCGAATTGCAATAGCCTCTGTTGTTTAGAGTATTTGGAGTATCGGATAGATGATGGAGAAAGGTTTTTCAAAGCTAGATTTATGACAGGTTTGGATCAGGTAACTTGAAGGCATACACTTCACTTGATTATGAATGAGAGAAAAATTGTGCTCGAAAGGTGTCAACAGTAAACATTACTGCATAACACATTGTGAAACTTTATCAAAATTAATTTTACCCAAAATGGAAGAACGATATTGTTTTTACTGACATTTCGCTATTCAATGGACCTCATAGCTTTATCAAAGGATTATTATAATTATTATTAAACCAAAATTTACAAAACCTCAGCTTATATACAACAAATTAATCATCGTTCATCAGCAGGGGGGTAATTATTCAGGAAATAGCACCTATGATCGAAGTTGCTCTACAACTGTTGAGCAATAAAGAATCGCAATCTGTACGTCAAAAGATATCACATATATTAATGACACAACAAGAAATCTGAAAAGGGACAAAGGCATCGTTATAACTAAAGCCGACAAGGGAAACGTCACTGTGATAGTGAAGAGGACTGATTGTGAAAAGAAGGTAACTGAACACCTATCCGAAGGACCATAATTACTCATTGAAGAAAAGAAGAAATCTGCCGGATTCAACAAAATGAAACTGAATACCAACAGACTCCTTCAAGAGCTAAACCTCAAAATTGGAAATTCCCTCTGGTTTAAACGAAAACCAAAATCTTACGTACCACCCTCAAGATTCTAAGGTCAACCAAAGATACATAAAGCCATAGTCGCATTAAGAGCAATTGTAGATTTTACCAACTCACCGACATACAACCTCTCCAAATACTTATTTTCGATGCTACAACCCTTGCAAAAGGACACTCAAAATGTTATAAAAGATTCATATGATTTGAAATCGAAAATACAACACCGAGAAATTGATAAAATAGGTATATTGTGGTAAGCTATGATATTAACTCATACACTAGTATTTCTAATCCCGAAATTCTTGATATCATTTTCATAGTTTAGCAGAATCAGGCACAACACCATCAGAAAGATATCCACTGCACACCAGAAAAATAACTAAAATCTTAAAACTCTGTCTGAAAACTAATTATTTTACATTTAAAGGGAATTTATATAGACAGACAAATGGTGTACTCATGAGTTCATCAGTTTCCACAATAGTCTCTGATCTTTTCAAAAATAGATTGGAAGATAACATCACGAATATACTCACACCTAAAATATGGGTTAGATACATTGGTCATACTTTCGTTGTACTAGAACGAGACCTACACAGTCCATTCTTAGGGAAACTGAACAATCTGTCTCCCAGCACCCAGTTTACTTCAGAAGCAGAAGAGCACTTCAGCGAACTACCTTTTCTAGATTGCCCAGTTAAGAGGAAGAAGATGGAAGTTTCAATATACCCATATTCAAGAAGAAAACACACTCCAACAAATATTTAGACTTCGGATCATCGCAACCCATTAGTGTAAAGTTATCAGTTGTCTCAAGTGTTCTTGGACGGGTCCATTGTTTGATAACGGATGACAAGGAAAAAGAATAAGAAACATCAAACATTACTGAGGTTCTCAAGAAAAACAACTATCCAAAGAACTTCATTACCAAAATCAACACCAACATAAAATATGGTCAAAAACATATCCTGAAGGCATGGAACTCAACAGCTGTCATTCCGTATCGATCATAAAGGTCAGATGATATCAGAAGAGTACTCAAAAAACACAAAACCAAGGTTTTTCCTCAAAACACCAAACACACTGAACAGCGCGACCTTGTCCATGTAAAAAATAATAATGACTACTCTAATATTGTTGATTTAACAACGTCTGTGTTTTACTGTCAGCTAGTTAGCTATACTAGTAAAATTTCAAGTTCCTCAATACCTATCCCAAAAATAAATAAAAACGTTCAGACCTAGTTTGGGAACTATTGGCAGTACGCACCCACTGGGTTTCGAACAGCTGTCCAGTACTCCAATGCTGGTTTTCAATGATTCTCTAACTGATATCAATCGTAAAAACAAATCTAATCCTTACAAAACAACTCTTCAAAAACTAATCTGATGCTCGCTAGTGACTAGCTACAGAATGGAGTTTCCTGGAGTTCCAGTGAGAAGTCGTGACCAGTGAGATTCATCCAGTCAAGTGCGAGGATGGATATCCCACTGATGACATTGGTTGATGGTCAGGTCACGCTAAATCACGAATTGATAGAAGTTAGAATTCATGGACTGACCATTAAATTGGGGCCCATTTGCTGAATGGTTTACGAGCTTGCCTTGTAACTGGAAATTCCTGGGTTCGAACCCCACTGTGGTGGGTGCGTACTGCCGATGATTCCCCGTCTAGGGTGAAACAGCTGTCCAGTACTCCCTGGTCTTTAGTGGTTCTCTAATTGATATCAATCCGTAGTCGAACTCGTAAATCAAATCTAATCCTTACAAAACAACTC